GAGGGGGGGGGCAGGAGGAGGGAAAATATATCTCACATACCGAGTATTATATAGCAATATTTTTCAAGAATTTGTCAGAACTAACCTCTTGCTTTACAACATAAAGTTTTTTTAAAGGTTCAAATGGAAGATCTTTTACTGTACTTTCTTCAACCACTAAGTGCGTACACCTTTCGTCACCAACTGGTAAATAACGTCCTCCTAGATAAAAAAAGGCAAGTTAGCAAGACTGAAGAATATTATTGTAAGAAATTAGTAGCTCACTTGATAGTTCTGTAGCACCTATCATTAATGAGAGAAGAGGCAAAGAGAGATGAACTCTTCAGTGAGCCGATCAGTTGTTGGGCTTACATAGCACCCCAGATATTATCAGCAGTGGAGAGCTTTTAGGAAATAGCATGTAGCATGCAGTAGTAAAGTACACACTGAAAAGTCAAGAGTACATGGAGTTCAGAGAGCATTTAAACCTGTCTGGCAATAAAGGCAATATTCTTCTGGAAAGCTTTTCTTGTTTCTTGGAAGAGCAAGCCAGGAATATTCAGCCTAAAGACATCCACAAGCTAGAACCTGTGCATATCACAATCTTCTGAATAGCTTTAGGTAAACAGGTTCGGGGAGGGGGGGGACGCAGGCAGGGAGTAAACCCAGCCAACTTTCATCTCTTTTGAGAAAGCCTTGCTGTTACAAGCTTGCTCCATTCCCATTTCTGCAGTTCTGTTACACGCAACTCTAGCAATACAAGGCTGGAGACTTGTAAGTTATCTGCTACTTCATTACTGTCAATGTGATTATTAATATTGTACTACACTACCAAAAAATGGAACACTTCCAACCACGTTTTACCAGTGATGATTCATATCAAAGTTGTAAACATTGTAGATGCTTTCTGTGAATTATGTAAAGATGCATATCACAAAACTGATTATGAAAACTGAAGCAGAATATATATATTATGTAGCAAGTTTTCCAGGATACTTTCAAGCATCCTATAACTACTTCTTTTTAAATTGTCTATTTTCAATCAGCCTAGGAAGTTTGAAGTCTTCAACAGCTACCGGAACTTATGCATACACCAACATCTAAAAATCAATTTATAGATCTCCAAGTTGAAGAGTCTTCATTAATGCTTCAGGATTCACAATCCAGCATTTCAGCTTCAGTGAAGTATTTATCAGTTATAAACCCCATTCCTTCCACAGGTCAACTTTCATAAACAATAACCTTGCATTTCTGTCATTTCTTCCATGTTAGCTTTCTCATCATCAGAGAACCCAAGGAAACTTAACATGCAATCCTGGAAGGGAGGAACCTTGAACTGATTTCTAAAGTCATCATCAGCTGCACAGAAATCACTGGGGGAAAAAGAAAAAAAAAAAGATGCACGAAAAGGTCACTCAGTCAGTGCTACATCACTATTTAAACAGAAGCTCACAACACTACAGGTGAACAGGATGCAAGGTTAAGGTTGAAGGAAAATAAACACCTACATTTCATTCCTTTTCTCCCAAGCCTTATAAATCCACTCAGCTTTCACGATAGGAGTACCAAGACTTACAGCAATCTACAAAGCAGGAAAAGCACAAGTTGTATCAAGTATTTCCATTTAAGTCTTTCCCATGCCAAGAACAATTCGTAACCTTGCTTTTACTTTTCAAAACAGATACTGAAAAAAGTGAACGTATTCCTTCAAGAATCATGTCCAACTGTAACTCCCAAGAATTAGAATGTATTAATTCGTCAGTGACTAGGAGATCAGATCAATAGCTATTTTGACACTTACTCAAAAGTGCACCATTTTGCTAGTCCAATATCCTTCACAAAAACATGAAACCAGATCTCTGTTCCAGTGGAATATGGGATCTTTTTTCTGCTTTTGATACTTTGTATGAAGACAAACATCCTAACCTGCTTTTACCAAAAGAGAAAGCGACTATTCCAAAGGTAACTTCCATGACTGCTTGAAAGAGATTGTAAAGTTTTCCTACTTTCTCCCTTTGAGTTGGCAGAAAGGAGTGTTTGAACAGAATTAGAAAGTAGATCTTCTCTTCCAACTGGAAGATTAGAAAGACAGACTAGGAAAAAAGCAAGTCTACTAAGAATTCAAACAAGGGAGAGTCAAGGGACATAGGCTTTGCTATGTCATACTACATGGTACAAAAATCTATAAACTTGTATTTACTTGTCAACTGGACATACATGTCCCGAAGGATTCCCTTTTGGTGTTGTCAGAAAAAAAAAAACCAAACATATTTATACATAAAGGAAGATTTGAATGCTTATACATAACAAGTTTAAAATAATTTTTAAAGGAAGATGCACACAAATTGAGTACTAAAGTTTTTTGCAAGTTACCTCTAAGTATATTGTTTGTACAGACAAAAAAAAGCAGGCATGTTGATATATAAACACTTGTTCATTGATGAACAAAAAAATGTTCAATGTCTTAAGTGTCTTAAGTATTGATGTTATCAGTACTTAAGAAGCATTTTGGTTCTTGTCAATTACTAGCCTATTTCAAAATCTCTGCATTTAGGCACTTTATATTATTTAGATCTCTAACAGAGACAAAAACATGTCAAAGCTCAACACCAGACAGAGATTCCAAGTCATTGTTGTTAGTACAGGAAAAAACCCAGCAACTTACAAACTGAAGTATAATTTACAGACCTAGTCTACAAGAGCCAAATTCTGAAAGTTTCCATGAAGTACCAACTCAAGCTTACATACTCTGAATTTGTCTCCATGTGTTGAGTTAGCCACCAGATGTGTAACTTTTGAGCTAAAGTCCCTTCGAATAATTCCACCCATATGATGAACCAAGGTCACAAGCTTAACCTGAAAAATAAAGATGAAATAAGTTTTCAGTATATCTTTTGATGTGTATAGTGCAGAGTGAGAGCAGTACAAAAATAGTTTACAAAGGAAGGTACAGAAGGTTACATTAAACATCTAGGAATAGAAATGCTCCGATTTGTTCTTAAAACAACTTGTTCACATCTACAGAAGAAAATATAGCTGATACATCAGAAGAACTAATAACATTTTTTTTTTTTTTTACATTTAATACAGCCTTGCTGTGTAGCTTGAGGAAGACTACCCAAGCCACCAGTACTCTTGTGATCATCATACATAATGCCTTCAACTTTTCACGCACAATAGATTTCAAGCATGTTATCCTCATTGAATTAGTCAATTCTACCTGAAGGTAGAATTTACATAAGATTGTGATTTGTCCAGTTTGAATCTAGCAGATCAAATCTAACTATCCCTAACTCCCTAACACAGGGCAAAGGCTTTTGTTTTGGTTCGTGGGTCGGGTTTTTTTTTTTCCCCCCTCCAGGTGAAGATGTGTTGATTCCTAGGTGTCCAATAGGGAAATTAGCTGCCAACTGCATCACTTAAATGGAAAAGCAGAGTGCTAGAGTATCAAACCACTTCATACCTAGATATGTCAAGACTAAAGTCCTGATAGCACGATAGCAAGATAGCATAGCAGCAAGATAACGTCTGAAAATGCTCTGAACAGGACTACAAAGCTTTACTTGACCACACTACTACCTGTACAAATAAGAGGACACTGTTGGGTAAACACCATCTTATCTGAAGCCTAAATCTACAAATCTTTAAGCCCTACTGAATTAGAGCTGTTTAATGTCATTCAACAAAAAAGTGATCAAAAATGGCATGGACAAAATTACTTGGACAAGGAAAGTTTTGTTCCCATCCTCAAATATCACTGCCTCTGGACATGCAACAAAAAAAAAGAACAAACAATTCATTCCCCCCATACAAGTCTGGTCATGGTTAAACCGTATGGGTGATAGAACAGAAGAGTATTTTGAAAACAAACTTAATATAGTTTTACCAATCCAAAGGAAAAAAGTCTTACTAATTCGTCTTTCTTTCTGAATCCCGTAAAGCACAGTACCAAGTTCAACATACTTGCACAGTACAGTGGACGACAGGAGAAAGGTAACGGCTGAAAGTAAGAAGCAAGCTTATTAGTCAAAAGCATATTGCTTCCATTAAAGTTTTAACATTATCTTTAACACAGTACTATTGTTCCTAGTATTAAAATGCATGACAATAGTCCAAGTCTGTGTATTCAGTTATACCTCAGCTCCAGACCTGCCAGCGTTCTAATAAAGTAACTAGAGCATCCCCAAGTTCCACAGGTAGCGCTCCATCCTTTTTTCCTCCCCAATCCATCCCCTCTATGTGAAAACCTTTGGAAATATAAAGTGTCTGCTGGAGCATCATTTGTATGCTGCCTTTCCTAACGGCACAACCCCAACTAGTGGGTCAACAACTCCCACAACTACTGCGGTGGTTGTAGCCTTACTACTGTCTGCCTGTGCTTTCTCACTACATGCAATATTCTAACACAACATTAGAAAGTTGCTTTTCTCAAAATTATCTTGCTAAGAATATTTACAATTGATTGACAAAGCAAAATAGATTTTATTTTGAACACTTAATATTTAGAACTCACTGCACTACTCAGCTGATTTTAACAGAAAGCACATACCTCTCCTTTTTGTGCACAGTGCAGTACTACTGGAGGTCCAATGACGCGGCAATCTGCTTTGCAGAGGTTGTTAAAGATAGAATCTTCGAAGTCTGATACAATGAAGACAGTCTCAAATTCTGGGGAATCAGAATCTCCAAGCTCTTCTATTGTGTCTGTCTTTATGAAGGGCACTTTAATTTCCTTGATTTATGGGGACGAAGGGGAAAGCATTATTCAGGCAACATACTTACATTAGTGTCAAAATTCAGCTGATTTTTATTTTGGACCATTAGAAAAAATGCATGATTCAGATGTCAACAGAGACAGACTCTTAGGACTTGTGAAAGCTGAATGAGATGCACTGTTCTCTAGCATAAGAATAGCTATGAACTGCACCTAAAAAAAAAAGTCTTAAAGCAATTCCTGCTTCTGAAGAGTAATAATTCTAGTTACTTTAGAAGTTTATGTATCAGTTCACACTGATAATATAGTATTGTTCTTTTTCCTATCTGTAGATATTCCCAAACTAAGCACAAAAAAGAAATGAAATTTCAGACTGTCAGAACAGCTTAAGGTACTTCTGGATGCTACTAAAAAGTAGCATCCAGCTTGCAACAGCAAGCTCCATGCTGCATAAGGTCTAAAGAAGAGAAGTCAATTTTGTTCATTGCTTGATATTTTTAAGGGCTCTAAAAATTTGACCTGTTCCAATTTCAGTCATTAGTTCGAAATTTTATTTTCCAGGTTTTTCACATCAAGAAATGGAGAACCACTTCTTACGCTTAAGTTTAAATGCAGCTTTCAATTGAAAGAGAAGTTAATTAACCAATTATAAAGTCAGTTCATAGCAAAAATTTATGTGTTGACTGAATATAAGCATGCAGTTCAATGCCTCCACTGATATTTCTATCCCCCCGTTAGAAAACACCATTAATTAAGAGCCACGTATTTGAGAAAGTGTTTGCAAAAAAGTGCCGATTTTGATGAGCTTTGTGACATCATCAGAAACGTTAGCATATATTGTGACCACTATGCTCAATTAATATAAATTAAAGCGTGTGCACATTTCAGTCCCAGTGAAGTACAACATGCTGCATGCAATCACGTGTGCTTAATTGCATGACATACCATATGAATAATACTTTTTATTAGTTTTTCTTCTGATTTACCAGGACTAATTTCCTTTATCTTTATAACTGGTACTTCCATTATCTTAATGGTCTGTGGAAAAGGAGAACTTTAGTACAGAACCAAATTGGTTACTAGAAGTCTAAAAGCATATCATCTCATTCCAGTGACTGTTTTATCTTAGACCCACATACCTCCAAGGCTTTCAGAAGCTCCTCATGTTTCCCTGCTTCCTGAACCAAAACCACTCTTGTTTCTATTTGAGGCATTTCTTCTGTTTATAGAGAAACAGGGATAATATTTATATTTTAACAGAAAAATCCATATTAGGTCTAAAAATCAATCAATAATGTATAGAAGAATACAGGCAGACTGCATCCTTTCAAGACACCATGTTTATCAGGAAAAAGCCTGAAAATAAATGGTACCTCAGGAAGCCTGTCCTTTAATTAAGGTACACCCAATTGACCATAGAGCCTAAACTTTCTAGTGTGTGGTGAAACAAGATCCTGCAATCCATGACCAGCTACCTTACAGTCAAAGCAAGAACGTGCTAGAGGAGTCAGCAAGGGTGAGGGGTGGCGGGGAAGAAAGCAAAACAACAAAATCATTGCCTTAACACTTCTAGCAGAATTAGATACCAAGACTTGCTGAAACATAGATAGCTTATATCTTTTCTAGTTTCTGTGTTCCTCGCTGAGCAAGGTCCATTGATTCCTAGTAACTGCTCAGTTTCACCAAGGAATATCAGAACTGAAGTTAGATATCTTTTTATCCATGTATTAATAAGCTTTCAAAATATTAGGAAGAAGGGACAAGTATTGCCTCCATGTCATTTGCACCAAAAGACTGCTACTGGATTTTGGCTACTGCATTGCAGAAAAACAAAAATACCTTTTTTGTTGTTTTTTATTTCAAGATCTGTTCGTGAATTAATTTCAAGCTCAAGACTATTCATCTCTCTAAGGACTACCTACAATCCTACACAACAGAGCAGCACATTTCCACACACTGGCGTCAAAACATCACCTGGAATGATTTATTCCACAGAAGAGGCATTAAATGGAACTAACAGCTTTCTATACATTAGCCAGAAGGCTTGTTTGATTTCATGGCTGTAACCCCAAATTTTTATAACAAGATGAGTTAAAAATTAAGGCAGTCGCTTTGTTGGTGAAAGGATACCAAACCAACACCCTTTTGGCTACCCTACATACAATTCTGTAGTTCAGCAAAGCACTTTTGGTTTTTCAAAACTACCAAATACCTACAAAGTAATCAGTCATTATAAAAACACAGTAGTCTTAAAATAAGCTTCTCCCATTACCTTCAACATCCAAAACAGATCCAGGAAATATATTCTCTTTGGAGGTTTCTATAATTTTTGAATCAAGAACAGAAGAATCAGCCAAGAGGCTTCTCCCGGTTTCAGACACCAATGTACTGTTTTCAGCCATGATTATGTCTTGTTTCTTTCTTCAAGAGCTAGAAGTTAGATGTGCTAAACTAAGTTACAGTTGCAAAAAGCTCATTAATAAGAGTTCTATGAATAAGGCAGTCAGAAGAAACTTCAGACTTCTGAAAACAAAATTTAGACTCTTATTAAAATCCCACTCACATTGATAGAGTAGTTCTGAAAGAGTATTAGGAGTCACACAATCGGTAGAAAGGACAGACAACCACCCTATTACAGAAATGGTTCTGAGCAGGCTGCCTACCACAGAAATAATTTATTTGCACAGAAAGCTGCAGAGAGGGTACTTCAACTCTTAGCAACAGGGAAGCACTAACTCTAGTGTTCATTTTAAAAAGTTTCATCACAAAACACCAACAAACCGAAAGCACTTGTTTGCTTCAGTGATAAACTATTATAAGCTAGATTTGAGACCAAGGTTAGCATTGTTAAAGTGAAACATCAGCAGAAGAATTAGGGTACACAAAGCATCTTGCTAAAATTTGATTTTTCAGATGAACTGCCTAGAGTTACTGTGGTTACATAAAAATCACCACCCAGGGAGTAGAAACAGCAGTATTTACTCAAAGAAAAACTAGGTTTCTCAAAATGCCTGAGAGTTTCTACAAAGTTAATAAGCATACAATCTGTATGATCTAGTCTATTGTCCTACACTAACTATAGTAGAAGTATCCATTCATCATCAGATAAAGAGGTCTTCTTTCTTCTCACAGATAGAATATATCTGTGGTCTCCTTGCCCAAACAAACAAACTTGTGACATACTGGAAATGCAGAATTCTTATTCCTCTCATATTTTGTACAGGTAGCTACCTGAATCTTGTATCAGAAAATTTGTTCTAAGACACCTGCCCAACACGTAGCACATTTTGTTTTGTGCGTGAAGCAAGAAGCATGCATTTCCTGCAATTCGTCATTCACACAAATTTAAGTATTTGCAGAGTGGTAGCAGAAGTTTCCTAGAATAACTTGAACCGCTGTAGTATAATAACCCTCTGTATCACTTTAACTGAAGTCATTCTCCTTATGACTGTAAATGCCCCTTTAAAACAGTAGCCACGCAAATAATACGTTAAAGCATTGTCTGAAAGAGGACTCATGAGGTAGCAAAACCCTTCGAGAATAGCACATACTATTTTTCAAGTTGTGCAATGCCTGTCCAATTACATAGCAAAGTAAAAGTCAGAAGACAAAAAACAATGAGTGTTTTGTCGTAACGGCAATATAGAAGAGAGTTTCTCTTCTAGAGTTTAGGAGATCATGTTTGAGACTCTTGGACAGGATTCATGTCTTCATAATACATCAGGTAAGTTCCTAATATAGTGGTGAGCAATAAGTCAACACTACAAATCTATCATAATTCGAGGAACACCCAGTTATCAAAATTGCCACCTTAGTTGCAATTTTAATGTCACACACAGCTGTGCAGGCTCCACGGAATTAAGTTTCCTAGCAGTACGTCTCAGTCACCTAGCTAGTTTATCTCAGAATAGCTTGAGACCTAGCAAGAGGAGAAAGTAACTTTTTAAAGAAAGTCTTTAGGGATCACCTGTCCAGGCGGTTATAAAGATACCACCAGAAATTGTTATACAATTACCTCTTCTTTAGCAGTGAGGGTAGAGGGAAGCATAAACTTCGAAGATTCAAACCGTATTGGCAATAATGATTACCACACAGACAGTTATATGTAAGATCAGACCAAAAAAACCCTTCCAGTTAAGAGTATTATTAAATTTAAATGCTACAGATTATTTTTAAAAAGTCTGAGACATCGATATGATTCCTGTCATGCTGCTGTTGTTATACCTAATAACATGTATATGAACACACACTTACAGAGAACTTCATAGTATATTTGGGAGAAGCCCATACTTTGGGCTGGGCATTGATTTTCCTTATAGCTTTCCAATTTATTTATTTATGTGGTTCCATTCTGGGTGTATTTAAAAAAATATTCCCTGTTTTAATGGTCACATATTAATTAATAACATAATACCAGTCACTAGACTTACACACTGAGAGTGCCAAGATATGGAAGAAAAGAAACAGCACACACAAAATATGAACATAACAGTTTCCCCTCACATAAAAAAGAACACAAGGCCGAACACCATCACTACAGGATTCAGGCAAACCTGAACGCCCTTACAGCATTACACTTACAAATGACCTCCCAATAGTTTGTGAAAGCCTGAAGGTCACAAAACATCCACACGCTAAAATATGTTTTTTTAAATTAAAGCAAGGAGACGACATTAAAAAGCTTCCCACGTTGCCCATTTCCCTCTCGAGGGACCACCCAGGAGCGTGACCAAGCTGCCCTGCTGGGAGGTGGCCGGAGGCAAGATTAGATACCGCCAGTTACACCAACCTTATGAGCTGGCAGGTGCCGGCGGGCCTAGGGCTCCG